ATTGAGATTTTCTTGAAGGTGAGTGAAAAATAAATTTTCACTTCTAAGGTTTTCTTTAGGAATCTATGCAATGTCTTACACGATGTTGAAATTGGGGATACAGTTTAAGTGCTAAGTATCCTGGTTGCAAAACCAGTGAGTAGTATTTTTCCAGTTGAGGTGATTGCTTACTTGTTTTATCAACTGAATACAACAATTGATTGCCTGAGCCCTGCAGGTTTGAGACCAGCCCAGACAACTTGGCAAGACCTCATCTCTACAATAAATAAATAATTAGCCAGGCATGGTAGTGGGTGCCTATAGTTCTGGCTACTTGGAAGGCTGAGGTGGCTGTGAGTGTGCCACTGCAGACAGAATAAAAAATGTTTGCTTTCATTAACCAACATTATTTTCATTTCATTAAGGTTTGAGTTTTAATTGTGTGCTCAGTTTAATGCAGATAATGCTTACAGGGATTTTGTTACTATTTTCTTTTTTCCTGGCTGAACAGTATTGTTGTTTTGAAATACTCATTTTGGCTGTCAAATTTTTATATTATTCCTATGTGTTGTAATTCTGTAAATCCTAGACTATAAATATTCATTAGAGGTGTTAATTATGAATATTCTTTCATGAATATGGCCTAAAGGTTGGTGTTTCCCCTAAGTTCACGTTGGAACCTAAATACTTAATATGCTAGTGTTAAGAGGTGGGGCCTTTAGGAAGTGATGAAGTTGTGAGGGCTCTGCCTTTTGCTGTTTGAGAACACAGCATCAAGATACCATCTCTGCCGGGTTCAGTGGCTCAGCCTGTAATCCCACACTTTGGGAGGCTGAGATGAGTGGATTGCCTGAGCCTATGGGTTCGAGACCTGCCTGGGCAACTTGGTGAGACCTCATGTCTACAATAAATAAAAACTAGCCGTGTGTGGTAGCGCGCACTTGTAGTTCCAGCTACTTGGAAGGCTGAGGCGGAAGGATCGCCGGAACCCAGCAGGTCGAGGCTGCGGTGGCCGGGAGCGACCACTGCACTACAGTCTGGGTGACAGAGTGAGACTCCAACTCAAAAAAAAAAAATACCATCTCTGAGGCATGCCCTCGTCAGACACCGAATCTGCTGGCCCCTTCATCTTGGTCTTCTCTGCCTCCAGAACTGTGAGAGGCAGCTCTCTCAGGTGCTTTTGTAGCAACCTGAATGGATTGAGACAGTAGGTTATCTCCAGACAGGTTTTTCTTATGTAAGTAAGCAGAATTAAGCATGTCTTAATATGGGAAAAACCTGTCCTAAAACTATTGAACAGAAATTTAAAATCAAAGTTGTTCCTCAGAATTCTCCATTTTTCTGTTTATACCTGGTAAGCATGTCATCCTTATTTGTCATTTGATATTGTCCCTGTAACTTAGCTGCTTTCCCATATTCCTGCTCCCCACTGGAGAGAACTATCCTTTTTCTCTTTGAATGGCATTGCTTTCTTATGTATTAAACACACACACTGATCCACGTCAGTGTCTTGGACACTGAAGGCTACAACTCTGGGACCCGTATCCTGTGAGTTAGATATAGTAGTTATATCATTGGTTTAGTGCATGGACTTTTTATCTGAAGTTATACTGACTTTCTAATTTTATGTGTTTGGAACAGGAAGAGCAAGATCTGGATCAACAGGGAAATGAGGTATGATTCTGTGTTGGGGTTCCTATTGCAATACTCCCACTGCAGTCCAGTTTCCAGGATATCTGGTATACAACTTGTCACTAATAAAAACTGAAAAAGACCCCAACTCTGGTATATGTAACTGCAAACTTGGGAATATCGTTCTTTGTGCCTGTTTCCTTATCTGAAGAACTGTCCCCCAGGAAAGAGAGATTTTGCGAACAAAGATAATATATGTGAAAAGCACTTTTAAAAGTTTATGGCACTCAACTAACAATTACAGTTCAGCACCAAAGCATTGTGCCCTAAATCTAAGTGTGCTCATGTTGTTAAATCAGCGGGGCAGACTTGTAGGAAAATAGGAACTCCAAGGAGTCCTGAGATTTCTCCTTCAGAGTAAGTAAAAGAGAAGGGTGTGTTCTAGTGTGGGGTTTCCCAGCTTTGGTACTGTTGACATCGTTTGTTGTCCCACGCATTATCAAATGGTTAGCAACATCCCTGGCCTTTACTCGCCAGATGCCAGTTGTACCTCTACCCCTCCCTCACACCCCTCATTGTGACAACCCAAACTCTCTCCAGACATTGCCCAGTGTTTTCTGGGGGGCATTCTCTTCCCCAGGTCGAGAACCAGTGGTCTAGCCCAATCAGTTCCATTTCCATGCATCAGAACTTAAATCTATTTGAGTTCATTGTGCTGCATTTAAATGTTATTGAGTTGTAAAGTATCTTTATTTAAACATTGGTCTTCAATTCTTTGGAACTATAAAGTAGAGCTTTTCCAGTCTAGATTGTATATCAAAAAAGGATGAAAGTGTTAAGATATTAATTTGCGAGTGTTTTAGAGTTTTCCTTTTTTAAGACTGGTATAGATTTAACAGTTTTTATTTTCCCTTTTTAGGAAAACCTGTTTGATTCTTTGACAGGCCAGCCACATCCTGAAGATGTACTACTGTTTGCCATTCCAATATGTGCGCCTTACACCACCATGACAAACTACAAGTAAGTTACCATTCATTTACTCAAACAGTTGACAAAATAACTTCATAAAGTGTTTTCTTTTTTTTTTTTGAGTTGGAGTCTCACTCTGTCACCCAGACTGGAGTGCAGTGGCCGCTCCCGGCCACCGCAGCCTCGACCTGCTGGGCTCCTTCCGCCTCAGCCTTCCGAGTAGCCGGAATTAGACATGCACTACCACGCCCGGCTGATTTTTTTGATTTATTGTAGAGATGAGGTCTCGAACCCGCGGGCTCAGGCAATCCACTCACTTTGGCCTCCCAAAGGCGCGAGATTATAGGCTGAGCCACCAAGCCCAGCTCATAAAGTGTTTTCTAATCTCTACTGAATTGTAACATGCTGTTCTTGTTTAAAGATACAAAGTGAAACTTACTCCTGGAGTTCAGAAAAAAGGAAAAGGTACTTAAATTTTTGTTCTTTAAATTATAACTTCAAGCAGTTTAATTTAACTGAACAGAAGTAGATTTTTCGATTTTATATTTACAGCTGCAAAAACAGCCTTGAATAGTTTCATGCATTCCAAAGAAGCAACAGCCAGAGAGAAAGACTTATTCCGCAGTGTAAAGGTAAAGTTCTCTTTTAGGAAAGTGGAGATTGATGGTATAATTAAAAATGTTAGTTATTTTCCACTGTTCTGATAGAAAATTCTATCTTATTAGAAGCAGTAAAGTATTTCAGCTAAAAATTTCAAAATTGCCTTTCTTTTTTGTCATAAAAGAAACATGATTAACCATACAGGATGTGAAGATATTCAGTAATTTTCTTTTTTTAGGACACAGATTTATCAAGAAACATTCCTGGCAAAGTGAAAGTGTCTGCACCCAATCTTCTGAATGTAAAAAGGAAATAACTGAAATGAGTCCTAAAATACTTGTGAAGAGCCTATTTTATAGCCTTTTGGAAGTTCAAAGATGAAAGCACCATGTAACAGGACTTCCGTATTTAAAAATGAACTAAACATTGCCTTGCTATATTCGCCAAAAGGATTTTTTTCCAGTTTTATATAGCGGAAACAGTGTCTATAATAGGCTTTCCTAAGATGTTTGTGGATAGTTAAATGCTAATTATATACATCTGTAGTTATTCTACATTTTCTTGAAATTTGAGAGGGTAATACTAAGCGTTCATTTCATGATGTAAAGAAACTGAACAGTGAAGATGCTTAAGTGAATTGCTTAAACTATTGACTTGGTAGTCTAATGTAAATAACATCTAATATATGTATTACAGGCCAATCGCAAGGTTTTCTTTGGGGTGGGATGGTTACATATTTAGGATTGTGTCTTGAAAACCCTAAGTATTGGAGTGGATTTTCTTCTGCCTTTACCTACTTGTCAAAAAATATACAGACCAGATGTAAAACACAAATCATAACTCCGTACAGCTTACAAAACTAAGCTTAAATAACTGAAGAAATTGGTGTTAATCATTTCTACACATTTATGTACTTTCAGGTTTGATCTTAATTTCTTCTTTGTAGTTTCATTCATTTCTGTACGACTTTAATTTCCACCTCTAGTAATTATCAATAGCATGTTACAGAGTCTCTTAACCTGTACTTTCAGAAGTGCACTTGAGGCTTATCACTAAAGAATCCTGGCCCACTTTTCCTCTGGCTCCTAACAGAATGGAGAATAAAGTCATAAGTTATTTCCATTCTTTTATGAGCTACAAAACTTAGTTTTTTGTTAGTCTCTGTCACCCAGGTTGGAGTGCAGTGGCATGCTCATGGCCACCCAGCGTCGACCTGCTGGGCTCTGGTGATCCTTCTACCTTGGCCTTCCAAGTAACTGGAACTACAGGCATGCGCTACCACGCCCTGCTAATTTTTATTTATCGTAGAGATGAGGTCTCACCAAGTTGTCCGGGCTGGTCTTGAACCTGTGGGCTCAGGAAATCCACTAGCCTCGGCCTCCCAAAGTTCTGGGATTACAGGTTGAGCCACTGAGCATGGCCCAAAACTTACTTTTTAATTGATTGGCTATTACCTACCTGTAGTCAGCACAATCTCTTGCCCCAGCCTCTACACTGAAGCATTAAGGTCAAAGTACTAAATAGCTGTTGGCCCCCACAGCTTAGTCCTATTGAGGTTGTTTTCATTTGAAATTCGTGTTTAAAAAAAGAAAACTATTATATCTACAACACTAAGCTACATAATTATAGACTACTCTTGCCATTTAAAAAATTTAATATTTTAGTGTTTTTAAAAAATCACCATTCTGATGATGGTAAGACTACTTAGTATAATGTTTCTACAGATCTGCATTCTGAAATTACCAAAAAGGAAATGAAATAACCATTATTTGTCCAAAAAAGTCCAAACATTACTTTTCATTTACTGTAATAGAGGACAGTTACTGGTGTTAAATACATTTATTGTAAACTTTCGACACAAAAATAGGTTCTCTAGGCCATTCACATGCACATTAAAACCAAAAAGCTGCAAACTACAACAATGCATATAATTATACAAATGATGCCACTCTGTGACGTTTACAGGATTACTGTCCATGCAAGGCGATCAGAGGCATTATCTACGAAGCCTTAAGATCCGGAAGTGTTGTTACTACCAAACCTCTGATTAACACTGTGAAGTAAGTGTTTTGGAAGGCAGTTCCATGAGTTTGCTAACATTTCTTTAAAGCAAATGACTGCTTCTAAGCTTAGCCTGAAAATGGACAAAGAGAAAAATAATTTCAGGTTACTGTTTAGAAGTCACTTGAGCTTAAAAAAAAAGACCCCTCTTGTTTTCAAGATTTTTATAGGAACTGGTTAGTTATATCAGTGAAGAATTATTACTGCCCTTAAATAATCCATAAGCCTGGTTTTTCAAGAGCACCAAAACACACAAAAATTTTGCACTTACCGGACAAGAGATTTTGGTTGAACTGAAAATACAAGTATTTCATTACTGTGTGCCTGAAAGACAGAAGGAACACATTAAGAAGCAGGCACTTCACAAATAAGACTCAGTAATAATACGAAGTGGCATACTTACAGCTCTGTGATGGACAAGCAGGTTGTTGGCACAACCCCCAAAAACTATTACTTCTCCTTCATCACTGGCACAGGCTGTATGCCATAACCTGCATTTAAAACAAAAACTTGGGTTGGAAGTCACCCAGAATGCCAAATCAATCGTGTCCATGACTGCATAGAGCTGGTTAAACACCAGAGCTCTTAAGGAGTTCTCACCAAAACATCATGGTGAGAAATAAAATCTTAAGGGATAGTAGCAGAAGTTAGAAAAATCAATGTTTGTTTTATCCGAATATTATTTTATCTCTGGCCTAGTCCTCATTTATGCAATGAGGGGTTTGAACTGAATGATCTATTCTCTAGGTCCTTATTAGCAATAAAAATCTTAGGGGAGCTGAGTCGTATATACCTCCTCCTTCTAAAGATAGGCCAACTGGCTTTGCATGAACAGCTGAGGGATGCTAAAAGGCCTCCCTGAGTAAACTATGAAAGTCTCTGAAAGTTTGACAGTTCTAGGCAAAGATGATTTATGCAAATGGACCCTTAGTAGCATGACTCTACTTGGGTTAGAAGCTTGGGAAAAATGCAGGCTGACCTACTTAAATGTGCTTTGAACAACAATTTTAACTATATCATTTCCTTTAACAATTCACTGTGAAATTAACAAGACAAATTATAAGTTTTGCTTTGTTTTGTTTTTTTTTTGGATGACGACATCTTAGTCTTTGCTGTACAAACCTAATCAACATTTCTTGATTTTTTTTTTTGTTTGTTTACTTGTTTTTGAGTCAGGGTCTCACTCTATTGCCAAGGTTGGAGTACAGCGGCACAATCACAGCTCACTGTATCACTGATCTCCTGGGCTTAGGCAATCCTGCCTCCTGAGAAGCTGGGACTATAGGCATGCATAACTGTGCCTAGTTAATTTTTTTGTTTTTTTGTAGAGGCGAGGTCTCGCTATGTTACCTAGGCTGGTCTCAAACTCCTAGGCTCAAGCAATCCTCCTACCTTGGCCTCCCAAAGTGCTGGGATTACAGATGTGAGCCACTGCGCCCAGCCTTCCATGAACATTCTGTAAAATTTTCCCCTTTCCAGTCTTTTTTATTCTAAATGTTAACTATGTCACTTTTATAACAGAAAGAAGAAATAAAAATAAAAGCCCAGCCCTATTCTTCATACATGGATGATAAAAAAGAGATCACTTGATATTAGGATAGCATTGGTTTTCTTTCCTTTGAGAAACAGGATGTGAAATGGTAATGAATACTAGGGTTTTAAAAAATAAGGATGATAGACATATAATACAGCTGAAACTTCCTCAGTTCTTACCAGGCTTGCACATACTCAATGTAAGAATTATCTTGTAAACAGTTCATACCTTGGCTTTTCAGTATATGGATGATTAAACTGTATCCATTCATTTTTACTGATGCAGTAAGTCCAGGCATCACCTGATTAAAGTAAAGAAAAAAAAGCTATAAAGTATGTTAGTCCGTCAATACGATTTTGACATTTAAAGGGCACAGCTTTGGCAAGAAAGGCAATAAATAGATTATACAGGAAGCATATGTCCTTTTCCTCAACCAAATAAGCTCTTTGCCCTTCAGCAGAGATTTTACATGCTCCAATCATTTCTTTACTGAGCAGTACAATTGTAAGTGTTATAGGATCAAAATTAATATCAAACCTTCCAACCAACCCTATAAGTCCTTTGATACATCTATAATAGACTGATTTTCAGCTGTTTAATATACATGGATGATATATAATGATTTCATTACCATGTTTTTCAAGAACTTACTCAGTGGCTGTTTATCAGTGGTAAATCCTCCAAAGAGAAAAAGATGATCTGAAGAAACTGGTGTTAGCGAGTGCCAAGATCGGCCAATTGGGCATATGCCTTGTGGGATTCTAAGAATAACAACTAAGTTAGAATATCTGCATTTAAAAGCAATTACTGTACTTTTAACATGGAGAAATACTGAGGTTTTCTTTTAAAATTTTATGTGGAAGTACTATTAAAAAAGACTTTAAATTTAGAAAGTTTTCTTGATGTTAGAACTGTTCTCTTTGAAAGCAGAGTCAACTTTAAAACTTTTCTTTTTAACAAACCCTGAGCACATGCTGAGTGCCATGTACATAGCTATAGGAACTGGAAACAAGTAAAATTTATTCCTTAAGGACCTAGTATAATCATGTTTATTTAAATTGATAGTTACAGAGAAGTTACAGAGAAGTATATTACATACTGATAATAGGGAATATAAGGGTAAAAAAGATCTAAAATTTTTAAAAACTCTTCTAAATAGTTATTGAAGTGATACTTACAATTCATTCCACTCCCATGTATCCAGATTAAGATAGTGAAGATCGTTCATTCTAGCATCCTGAAACAGGATAATTAAGTTATCATTTTGAAGAATTCAAAAATGCAAGTTATTGAAACTGTTTAAGTACTCACTCGATATCTGCCTCCAAACACAAAGCCTTTGTTTCCAACAGTTGCACAGGCATGGGCAGCACGAGGTGAAGGTGCTTTACCCTATTAAAAAGTCATGAAAGCAATTTAACAAATCAGTGAACTTTTTATAAACACAAGATGCCAGAATCTCCCCTGGATATGGAATAATATGGGATACATGAGCTTTTAAAAGTTGAAGTGCAGTCTTCTCAACAACAGCAGTACGAAGACGCAACTACCAAAAAAGAATTTTTTTTTTTTTTTTTTTAGTTGGAGTCTCACTCTGTCACCTAGACTTGAGTGCAGCTCACAGCCGCTGGTAGCCTTGACCAGCTGGGCTCAGGCGATCCTTCCACCTTAGCCTTCCAAGCAGCTGGGACTACAGATGCATGCTACCACACCCAGCTAATTTTTAATTTTTATTTTATTGTTTTAAGTCTTGCCATGTTGTCCAGGCTGGTCTCAAACTCCTGGTCTCAAGCAGCCCTCCTGCCTTTGTCTCCCAGACTACTGGAATTACAGGCGTGAGCTACCATGCCCAGCCTAAAACTGAGAATTTCAATTTTATATTTTTGAGATGTATTACTGAATGGGTTGGTTAGTATAATAGAAAGGTTGCTTTATTTTTTATGTTTTGAAATAAAGGCTAGCACATTATTATTATCTGTGTGAGAAGGTAAATAAGTCTAATATTTAAATAATTTAAGTTGCAATCTAGTGCTAGATTGTTTAATTACAGGTTGAGTATCCCTGATTTAAAAATCTAAAACTTAAGAGTAACAGTATGAAGCTTAAAGGAAAGCTCACTGGAGAATTTTGGATTTCAGATCTTCGGATTTAGGGATGGCCAACTGGTAAGCGTATAATGCAGGTATCTCCAAAACCTGAAAAAATCTGAAATCTGAGACACTGATAATCCTAAGCATTTTGGATAAGGCATACTCAACCTGGACAAGCAGTAGCAGCTACCGTTTAGCATCTGTGAGATAACAGATGAATGTATGGTTCATCACTCCATACATTCATTAAACTTTTGAGTTCTCGATTCCTTGGAAAATAATGAAGTATGGGTCTTCTATCTCCAGAAAACAGGAATGAACTGTCAGCCTCATAGCACCTCCCAACTCCAGTGTCTTCCCCTTTCTCCTGGTAGTAGCCTTGATTTAATAACGTGTTATTCTTCAGTAACTCACAGTAGTTATAGGCTGGCTCCAGGTAAATGTTTCAGTGTCTAAAATATGTACATGATCATTCCATCCTCTTGGATGACTTGAATTCTATGGAAAATAAGAATACCTGAGTTATGTAGCCTGTCTGATTTATTACCAAGGAAAAATGAACTTCTAGCAAACGTAAAATATCACAGTATACTAAGTAGGCCATATGCCAAAATGAAACTTTACTCACCCAAAAAGATGTTTCATCAAATTCAAAAGTTCCCAATACTTTATCTTCAGGCAAATATCCATACCCTCCAAAAAATATTAACCTGTTTGATAAAAAAAACCAAGACATGAAAAATTCAAACATCTACAAGACAGGACACAGGATTTTTTTTTTTTTTTGGGTCACACAGTATGAGTTGACAAGGCATACTGCAATACAATTATTCAAGTAACAATGGCTAACACTTAACTATGTCTCACATGCTGTGTGTTCAGTGCTTTCACTTAATCTTCATATGGTTCCTAAGAGGTACATTCTATGATTATTAATGTTTATTGGCTAAGGATACTTGAATGGGAAACTACACATAACAATCCACCTATAGTGCTACTCACTCACTTGTTTTTATATACCCAGACACCAAGTTTATCCTTTGATGATGGAGGAATTCCTTGGCAATCAATTCTTTCCCACTGTAACACTCTGTCTGTAGACCTTGAATCCAGCATGTAGAACTGTCAGAAGCAACAATTTCAGTTAGGTTTGGTTATGTGAAAGAAATTCAACTTCAGCATTTAATTTTACTATGATTTATGGTAGTAACAGTGCCATCTAATTCAGTGCTACTGAAATTGTGACTGCAGACTTGGCTGCCAGACTGGTCAGAGTTTAGGTTAGGAACTTCTGACAGGCCGGGCGTGGTGGCTCAAGCCTGTAATCCCAGTACTTTGGGAGGCAGAGGCGAAAGGAGTGCTGGAGCTCAGGATTTCCAGACCAGCCTGAGCAACTTGGCGAGACCTCATCTCTACAATAAACCAAAAACTTAGCCAGGCATGGTGACGCACACCTGTGGTTCCAGCTACTTGGAAGGCTGGGACGGAAGGATCGCCTGAGCCCAGCAGGTTGAGGCTGTGGTGGCCATGAGCATGCCACTGCACTCCAGCCTGGGTGACAGAGCGAGACTCCGATTCCAAAAAAAAAGGAGCTTGTGAGACAGAATATGAAGTTCCTAAGTTACTAAGCACAATGTTAGGTCAACTAATTTTTTTCCATAGCCACACTTTAAAAAAAGTCAGGTCTTACTCTGTTGCCCAGGTTGGAATGCAGTGGCACAATCACAGCTTACTGCAGCTTCAACCTCCTGGCTCAGGTAATCCTTCCACCTCAATCTCTCCAATAGCTGGGACTATAGGCATGTACCACCGCGCCTGGCCCCAGCTAATTTTCTGATTTTTTTTGTGTACACAAGGTCTCACTATGTTGCCTAGGTTGGGCCACACTTTTTTGATGAAGGAATCTGTAGTGCGGTCACTAACTTTCTGGCACAGGCTTATTTCGCATTAGACACAGTCACTTTGAATTGTACTAATCTAATTTATGAGTATCAGGATGATATTACAAAAAAAAAATCAGGCGTAGCAATTTTACCTTCAAATTCAATTTAACGAATAAGTCTTCCGTGCCTATTTAATTCTAGGAGTAAAGGATCAATACTTAAAAGGTTAAATATTAGTCCTTCAGCCGGGCTCGGTGGCTCAGCCTGTAATCCCGCGCCTTTGAGAGGCTGAGGTGAGGGGATTGCCCGAGCCCGCAGGTTTGAGACCTGCCTGGGCAACTTGGTGAGACCTCATCTCTACAATAAATCAAAATGAGCCGGGTGTGGTAGCACGTGCCTGTAGTTCCAGCTACTCAGAAGGCTGAGGCGGAAGGATCGCTGGAGCCTAGCACGTCGAGGCTGCGGTGGCCGGGAGCGGCCACTGCACTCCAGTCTGGGCAATAGAGTGAGACTCCAACTCAAAAAAAAAATATTGGTCCTTCAAAGGGTTCACACCCGGGCAACTGAATGCATCTGACCATTAGGTTTACTTCTCTAAGACACTCAAGGAAGCTGCCTTTTGAGTATCTTAAAGAGATAGTCCTAGCTGACTTCCTAGCTACTACTTTCTCTTGTAACCACCCCTCTAAAACCACAGCTTCTCTCCTCAAACTTCCTCGAATTGTGTCACTTTTTTCTACCCTTGGTTCAGAAAAAAACACATGGTTCAACTACAGCCTACAGATGAGCCTCACAAAATCTTTTAGGCATAGAACCCTTTCTTCAAGCCAAATACTGACCAAAAGCCCAATATATAAAAACAAAAGTGGAGCTACACTTGTTATAGAAAGGCCGAGTGTAGTGGCTCACACCTGTAATCCCAGCTCTTTGGGAGGCAGAGACAGAAACAGGAGAATTGCTTGAGCCTAGGAATTCAAGACCAGCCTAGGCAACACAGCAAGACCTTGTTTCTGTGAAAAATCAAAAAATTAGCCGGGCGTGATGGTGCATGCCTGTAGTCACAGCTGTTTGGGAGGCTGAGTCACGAGGATCCCTTGAGCCCAGTAGGTCAAGGCTGCAGTGAACTGCAATCGTGCCATTGCATGCCAGCCAGGGCAATGGAGTGAGACATAAAAACAACAGAGGCTCAAGCCTGTAATCCCAGCACTTAAGGAGGCCAAGGAGAGTGGATTGCCTAAACCTGCGGGTTTGAGACCAGCACGGGAAACTTAGCAAGACCGCGTCTCGACAATAAATCAAAAATATTAGCCGGCCACAGTAGCATGTGCCTGTAGTTCCAGCTACTTGGACAGCTGAGGCAGAGGAATCTCCAGAGCCCAGCAGGTTGACACTAGGGTGGCTGTGAGCA